GTCCTTGTATGAGTACCAAGAGTAAAGCAGTACAGTAATATGGTGGTACCAATGGAGGAAGATAAGCTTCTGTTTCCTAAGAACAATAAATATTGTATCTCCTGGGGGGGGGGGGGAGGAAAAAACATAAGAAAAATGTTAGAACCCTGAAACGTACTTGTGAATTAGGTGGCACTCCTGGCCACGGAGGTCACCTGGTCAACCAGGACTACCCCCAAACTATGTACCTGCCCATTCAGACATTTACCTGCCCATCCAAAACAGGCAACTTACTTATCTTCCAGGCATGGAAACCACAAAACTTCAATCTTCTCAGGGTTCAAACTCAGTTTATTGGCCCTTACCCAGTCCATTAAGGCCCTGGTCCAGAATTTGCACAGCCTCTTCTGATTCAGATGTTATAGAGCAGGGATGTCCAACTTCCAAGAGACTGTGATCTACTCCCACTAAAAAAAAACCTGGCAGTGATCTAGTCATTGTATTGACCAAAGTTGTTGAGCTTTCTTGACGATCAACCAGGATAGACCAGGGACGCCCTGTGATTGACGTATTGGACATCCCTGTTATAGAGAAATTGAGCTGTGTGTCGTCAGCATGCTAATGGCACTGTGCTCCAAAAATTCTAATGGCCACTCCTAGTAGCTTCAGATGTTAAGCAACATTTGAGACCAAAGGGTGCCCTGCAGAACCCCATAGCACAAGAGTACTTGCCCAATGTTATTTTCATGGTTAGGAATGGAACTACCATAATACAGTATCTCTGAAACCTCTCCTATTCAATTGATCCAGGATGACACCATGGTGAATGGTACAAAAGATGCTGAGAGATTAAGTAAGCATGGCAGGGTTGCAATCCCCCACTACCTCTCCTGATTCAGGTCATCCAGCGGGGTGAGCAAGTCAATTCAGTCCCATAACCTGGCCTAAACCCAGACTGAAGTGGTTCTATTGTAGATCATCCGTGTCATCCAGGAACATTTGCAGTTGATTATACTGTCAAAACCCATGTAAGGTCATTTAGGAATTTTTTGTCCAATTTAGTTGCAAAGATCAATTTTTCAATGAGATTGATGCTGCAATTCTACTCCCACTGACCTGGGAGTCAGTCCCATTGAACTCAAATGGGACTTTTCAGTTGACATGTATAGGATTGCAGTGAGAGAATCAAAAGTCAGCTTATGACTGGGTTTGCATGAAATTTAAGCAAAGGTAGACATTTCACAGAAGATATTACTGAGGAAAAAACTAAAATACATTTTTGAAATAACCTATTATCTTTCTAAGCATGGATAATGGCTATTTATCTTGTATTAGCCTGAGGAAAATGGAAGTTAAATATAGATGAAGAAAATGCATATCAATCCAAGCCCTAATTATACTATGGTCTCTGAAGTCATTACATTTAGTCATGTCAATAGGTTCCAACACAAATTAACTTTACATTTAGGGAGAAGAAAAGTACTGTGCAAATGAAAAATATTGTGCAACTGGAATCAAATCTGTGAATTTTACCTATAGAGATACAAATTGCTTTCTGAACAGAGTACGACTTTAGAAAGAGCATAAGACAGAAAATCTCCCCATAACTCATTTCTTAACACACTACTTAGAAGATTAGATCTACTCAAAGAGACGCTCCCCAGCTAAAATGTCACAGCTCTCTCATAGACTGAAACATCACAGCCTCCAGTTGGGATGTTCTTACTGAAATTGCCTCTATGGGAAAACTCTATCAATATCTAAACATATCTCTTTAGATACGTTTAGAGAGGAAAAGATTGCAAGTAAACAATGCCCTATCAAACATAGTTATTCCATGATTCTTTCTAAGATCATTTTGTATATTGTGAGGGAGGTTGGTGTGGTACTAATGCCCCAGCAGAGCCAAACTGGCACCCCCACCAATGTGTGTGCAATGTGCCAACATTCCCACTGCCTCACCCCTCTGGTAAGCTGCAGAGACACTGGTTCCAGGAGGCCAGTAACATCGCTGCCCTGCCCTGCAGCCGCCCCTGCTTCAAAACTCAAACAAAAGAATACTAGTAAGGGATATGAACCAGTGTCTTCATTACCTGTAACCCAACCTCATACACGTTTACTTGCAAAGAGGAAGGGGGTGAACTGGTGGTGCCAACTTCCAATGAAGTGGGCTTAGGATGGTAACCTAAATCAGCAGTAAAGCTGATTAGTAAATCAGTTTTCATATTTCGCCATGTCATTTTGTGACCAAGTGAAAATGCCTGGGCACCAGTATGGTGCCTGATGTCTCCACTATCTGGAGGTGCATGCCTGGGGATCCTTGGATCTTGACTGTTTTCACACACTAATAGCACAGCCTGTGGAATTATATCCGTTATATTTTATCTGCACAATCAGAATGAATTTCAGGAACCAAAAAATCGTATTGAAAAAATACAACTTTTGAGTGGTCTGCCCCCCAAATGGCAACTAGACATTCCATTTTGGCAACTGTAATGCTGGTTTAAGGAAACATTTGGTGCCTAGCTTATATACGCACGAGTTTCTAACACTGCCCCATTTCCATAAGCAACTGCAGGACTAATATAGGTAACTCACAATAGGTTTTCACACATTCCCAGTGCTTTTTTCCCTAGGGGGACACAGGGGTACGCATACCCCTAAACATTTTGTGAATCTAAGTTTGGCCTCATTGGGGGTCAGTATTTCAATATGAGTAGGAAAATGAGAGTACCCCTAAGCATGTGTTTTTTTTAAAAAAAGCACTGGACATTCTCAACAGCAGTCTGAAGGGTACAAAGTGGTACCATTCTAAATGATGTGAAGCAGGTCTGGCTTTGGTCAGTGCACTTGGGAAACACAGGTTCCCTTGGGCCCCAAGAGGAGAGTAAGGCAGGATACACAATAAAGTTAATATGAAGGATATCTCCTTCTGGCTGATGCTGAAAATCAGCAATGCACTGAAATAGCATATTCTTAATAGTCATCATTGTTTTGTTGGGTCGGAAGCCCTGTGAGGTTTCCTGAGAAACAAGCTATGGAACGTCTGCCAAATCACTGCTTCCTATTTCCAGTTAGAATCTGCCTAAGAAGCTTCAGGATAAGCAAACATAGATGTGCAAATGGGTTTGCTACTTACAAGCTTTTTAAAACTGCTGGGAGGAAACTGCTTAGACACATCTTCATAAACTAAGGGATGAAGGGAGACTAGGTCTGGCCATTATTTCTAGGTGAGGAATTTGTTAGACCATCCTGTTGGCAGGCATATGAGCAGGCAGTCATATATATGACTGATTTCCATATTATTGTTTTTTCCTGTTCTGTTGGCCCTTGAGAAGTTTGACCCTTGAGAAGATTGTGTTGGTTATATACAATATTTTTATAGGTGTAGAAGTACTGCAGAATGAACAATATATGACCATATCTGTGTTAGGTAGACTCTGCTCCACCAATGGGTTAAGGTTTTTTGGCTGCATTGGCCATTCACTGGGTTGGTGAATAGTTACTTTGTGTGGTTGCTAAAATGCTACTTTCTTGCTCTTGGAAGATAGTTGAGGAACAGCAGCAAATATAGAACCCATGAGCCTTAATAATCCAAACAGTATGAGTTAAGGACAACTATTCCATCTGGAATTTTGAGAGTCTTTTTGTTTGTCGTCGACATATTCTTCATCTTCATATTATTATTATCTGTATTTGTTATTTTTTTCACAAATGTGACCCACAATGACTTAACTACGGTATATTACAATTTTTTTCCACTGAGGAAAACTCATTTGAGACCACAAATACAAGTGGTTGTATGGTGATTACTATATTGACTGAATGCAACGTTTTAAAGGCATTTTTGAGCACTATTATGAAGCAATCAAATAAGCACCTTTTTCAAGCACATCATTACAAATATACCATAAAACAAGAGAACTGCTATGGAGCAATCCTGTCACACCTTTGTCCTTTTGCTCCAAATGTACCCCATGAAGTGAGAAAGGAGAGAAGGCACTCACCTAGTTCTGGTGCTTTGCTTAGCACAAATGCATAAGCCCAGAATTTGCTGACAGGTCCATTGTAAAAACTCTGGTCACAAACTGACTGCTTCAGTCCTTTGGTCATCAAAATGTACACCATATAAGCACCCGTTCGAACAGCACCAAATATACTTCATGACCATAAAGAGAAAACAAAGAGCAGTCGGTTATCATCAGAAAGCAGAAGACAAAATGCTTAGAGAGCCCAGATATAGTTATTGAGTGCAAGAAGCAGGAAGTACCTTCATTGTGCCTATCCTGACCTCCATTTAAGAACATGAGACGAGTCCTGCTGGATCTGGTCAAAGGCTCATCTACTCCAGCAACTTGTTCTTATAGCAGCCAACCAGATGCTCATTGGAAGCCTGCACCCTTTCTGAATACTCGAATAAAATGTTCCCACAGAAGAAATTAGTTAAGGATGCTGCTATTAAACACATTTATTGGAAACACGTTCCTTTGATTTTGTTGGACTCCAACTTCCATCAGTCCCAGCCAGCATAGACAGTGGTTATTCTCCAACATAAAAGGTAAAGGTAAAGGTACCCCTGCCTGTACGGGCCAGTCTTGACAGACTCTAGGGTTGTGCGCTCATCTCACTCTAGAGGCCGGGAGCCAGCGCTGTCCGCAGACACTTCCGGGTCACGTGGCCAGCGTGACAAGCTGCATCTGGCGAGCCAGCGCAGCACACGGAACGGCGTTTACCTTCCCGCTAGTAAGCGGTCCCTATTTATCTACTTGCACCCGAAGGTGCTTTCGAACTGCTAGGTTGGCAGGCGCTGGGACCGAGCAACGGGAGTGCACCCCGCTGCGGGGATTCGAACCGCCGACCTTTCGATCGGCAAGTCCTAGGCGCTGAGGCTTTTACCCACAGCACCACCCGCGTCCTATTCTCCAACATAGAGCTTATCATATAAATAGCTCAGCTGGTAGAGCATGGGACTCTTAATCTCAGGGTCCTGGGTGAAAGATTCCTGCATTGCAGGGGGTTGAACTAGATGACCCTTGTGACTCCTTCTATGAATCTATATGGGAGTTCAAGGCTACCCCTTTATAGACAGTGGACCCTTCCTCCATGTCTCCTGTGTGAGCGACACTGCTTCTAGTTGGGAGGATGATTGGCGAGTCAATACAGTTTAGCGCAGGGGCCTTCCAGTTGTTGCTGGACTCTTAACTCCCATCAGTGCCAGTCAACAATGGCCAGTGGTCCAAGATGATGGAAGCTGGAGTCTAACAACATCTGGATGTCCATAGGCTCCCTATCCCTGTCTTAGAGCAACAGAACTCTTGAAATAAATATGCAGCACCATATCCTCTCCATAGCATTTCACATCTAGTTTCCAAGTAACCCCCTAGAATTAATCAATACTGAATTTCATTGCTACAGAAGACAGAGTGTCCTTGCTTTTGTAAGATTCCTTTATTTTGAAATTATTCATCCGCTCAAATACATTTGTGGGCAAATTCAGCATTTACAAATAAATATATCAAAGCTTCTATAATTATGCCAAAGTCTGCTGAAGGCCTTGCGGAGACTGGGGCATAACCAATAATTTTTTTTATTAAGGAAATATCTTAGTTCCGCCACATTCACAGTTAACAAGACTGGACAGCTTCTGGATTTTATATGCAAAGGCAATACTCACTTTTTAGCTAAAACTCTGTTTGGCAAGAGATCTCATTGGAATTAAGGAAGCCACTTAATAATCTTTAGGATGGCACAGGAGGGATTCATAAACATGGTATAACACTGAAATAATCCTTAATGAATACTTCAGGGATGTAGCCTTGTGAAGTTACTGGGGTCGGTGGGAGAGGGCAAGGCTCCAAACAGAATCTGAGAATACTGCAGTAATCTGGAGATTTGAACAGTAATCCGAAAAGGCAGAATACCTGTTTCTAGAGGATACTCTTTAAGGTTCTTACAAGATCAAAGGTATCCAGTTGTTATAGCAACTAGAATACTTAGCCCTGAAAAGTATGTATCTATGTGCCTGTTGAAAATTATCCTGAGCAAACAATGAAAAAAGTAAGAAAGCCGTGAGGCAAATAAATGAACTCAATAAGGCTAAACTATAAAATAGTTTAAGCATATTATAAATGGCATGGAAAGTTTCAGATGGCTGGAAGGAAAAGCTGAGTTCTAATACAATTATAATAAATCGGTGAAAAGAAAAAGTCTTCAATCGGTGGTTCTAAGCTGTTTTAAACTGTGTTTTTTTTAAAATTTTGTATTTCAAATTGTGGCTAAATAAATAAATAAAGGGAGGGAATTTCAAAGTGCCACCACATTAAATCTCTGATTCTTATACCAAACACATGGAACAGTATCTGCAGGAGGTGCTGCCCTGCACAGCATAGCAATCCATTGGGTATATATGTTATATATGATTTTTTTGGTATCCTGGTCCCAAGATATGTAGGGTTTTGCATACCAGTGCCATCACCCTGAATTTAGCCTACAGCTAACTGGCACACCAGGGCACTGTTGGAAATTAAAATGGCAGTTCCCAGATTATTATTATTATTAAAATTTGTCAGTTGCTTTATCTTGCACAAGGCAACCCAACCAAACAAAACAAATCCCACATAGATACATTAAAACCAAGAGGAAAGAGAAATACATGAAAAACATCCCACCCACTTCTAAAAGGCCACAGATAGTTAAAGGCCAACAGCCTGGCTATAGAGGAATGCTTTAGCTTATATTAAAGGTGGGGGGCTAGATCAGGCATCAGCAGTGGTAACAAAAATGGCTGCATGCTGAGGTCAGGCCTGACTGAAAGTTACACTGTTCTTTTAAACCATACTTTATTGCAACAGCCATTAGGTTCCATCCAGAGAGCACGCTTTTTCAGGATGTGAAATCTAGACTCTTGCCACATGGGGGTGCTTTCACCATGTGGGAAACATGTTTGCATGCCTTTCATTTATTTCCATCCAGCCTTTTCAACGCCTGTTCCTGGTGCAGGTACCAACTGAATGCCGAAGTTTGCAATGTTAGGGCAGCTGGCAGTAGCACAATGCAATTTTCTCGTTCATACACTTTGCCTAGCCTTGTGGTTGTTGACTTCCTTCCTGTCGCAATGCTTGTCGTGTGCTGGAGAAAGCGGTTAAGAAACCGGCAGTAATTAAAGCAGCCTTCCCCCACCAAGGCCAGATTTAGGGCTGTTAAGGTGGCTCCTTCACACAGGCCACTGAACTGAGGGAGCGCAGAATGGAAGGCGAGAGGGAGTGAGCTCACTGCCTGGACCTCCTCCCTCCTGTTTGTACTTTTGATGTCAAAATTCCCAACTGCAGAGGCTGCTGGGTTACAGAATTAGATTTTCTAAGAACTGGCAGCTTCTAGAGCTATCATAGTAGCTGGTTTGTGTTGCCTGCTACTAAGGACTAACTGAGCAGAGGTCAAGTGGCGGGTGCATCACGACTGAACTCATGTCAAGTGGGTCTGGAACCTGGGTCCAAGTCACAGGAAGGCATGAAAGAAAGGGAAAATGGGGGGGGGATTTTATCCTTGCTTAAGGTGCCATATGACCAAAGACTGCCCTGGCCCCAACCTGGTACCTTTTATCCTGTGAACCGCCTTGAGACCTGTGGGTATAGGGTGCTACAGTGGTACCTCTGGATGCGAACAGGATCTGTTCCGGAGCCCTGTTCGCATCCTGAAGCGAACGTAACACGTAACTGTGCATCTGCACGTGTCGTGTTTTGCCGCTTCCGTGCATGCACGTGACATCATTTTGAGCATCTGTGTATTCGCAAGCGGCAAAACCTGGAAGTAACGTGCTCTGTTACTTCCAGGTCGCCATGGAGCGCAACCCAAAAATATTCATCCCGAAGCTACTTCAACCCGAGGTATGACTGTATATAAATTTAATAAATAATAATAATGTAGTTTAACTGCATGTCTCACCATCACTGACCATTGGCCATGGTGTCCAGGACTGAGGGGAGTGGTTGGCTAAAACATATGGAGGATATCAGTTTGGGGAAGGCTGCATTACAGGATATTGATTAAGGGGCATTCTTGTCATATTCCTCAACTTACCTGAAGACTGCCAGGCACAGAGACCAGAGCACTAGTGGTTTCCTCAGTTCAAATTTTGCTCGTTTGTTCATTAGATGTCGACCACCAAATATAAAGGCAGCATAAAGAGCTGAAAACAGGAAAGATTTTTTCCTGGGGGGAAAAACACAAAACCCACAATCACCAAAAGATATTCAGTGAGCTTTTTAGCTGCATCATCATCATCATCATCATCATCATAAAATAATAATTTATTTATACCCTGCCCATCTGGCTGGGCTTCCCCAGCTACTCTGGGCGGTTTCCAACAAAATATTAAAATACAGTAATGCATCAAACATTAAAAGCTTCCCTAAACAGGGCTGCCTTCAGATGTCTTCTAAAAGTCTGGTAGTTCTTGTTCTCTTTGACATCTGCTGGGAGGGCGTTCCACAGGGCAGGTGCCACTACCGAGAAGGCCCTCTGCCTGGCTCCCTGTAACTTGGCTTCTCACAGTTAGGGAACTGCCAGAAGGCCCTCGGCGCTGGATCTCAGTGTCCGGGTAGAACGATGGGGGTGGAGACACTCCTTCACATTTACAGATCATCAAGGTTGCAACCCCAGATCCCTATATCTGTAAGACCTATTAAACTCAATGGGACTTACTAATGATTGCCCTGTTGGTTGGGGAAACACATTTGGTTTGGAACAAGTTAGTAGAGATGTTTCACACAATACATTCTTTTGTCCCTGAAAGCAGGTATATTCCTGGGTCATGCTGATAAACTTTGACCAGTTTGCCGCCAGAGCATTAACCACAGATTTCCTGTCTAGACTTAAGAAGCATTCACAATGTTCTCAGTTTGAAAAACAAACAAACCCCATAGTTTCTTGGTCTGAGTTAGTTATGTATTTATCTCAACAATTTATATGCTACTTCACATCACAATCTGTTGAATGAGGGTACAAAAAGATACAACAGAGATCTCTACATCTGAACCTGACCAATGTTTCTCATGCACAATAGAAATACATCATGACTTGATAAATCACATGCAGATAAATCTGCCTGTTTTAGTTGCAGAAGGGTTTCTCTTTTCTTTTTTTAATAAAAAAAATGATCCAGATCACACAGGCTGTACAAGTGTGCCTCAGGAGCTGCATGTAATCAACAGGCCATATGTTGTCCAAATCTGCTCTGCTGAGTTATTTTCCATCAAAGACTTGCAGTCATCATACACAGCCTGAACCAAAATCTAGTGAGAGCAATTCACTAACACAAAGGCCAACCCACAACCCGAAATTTAATGGATTTAAGTTTATTTATATATTGCATTTATATGCCACCCTCCTGCCAAGTCAGCCCAAGGCGGTTTACAATTTAAAATACATTAGAATAAACAAAATATATTCTCTCCCAAGCTTCAGGAGCTGGCGGCTATTAGCTCCCTGCCCTGCTCTTCTTCACTCCTGCCTTCCCTCAGGGCACTGCAGCCAGCAGAGTGACATCTCAAAAGTTCCTGTCACATGTTTCTAAAGCAGCATATATCATGCAGATTCAGGACGAAAAGCCAAGCTCAGCTTTTAGCCTCCAGGAAAACAGGTTTGTAACCTGAACACAGCTAGACAGTCTTTTGTGAACTGCTCTGAGACCTCCAGGTATAGAGAGGTATATAAATTCAATTAATAATAATAATAATAATAATAATAATAATAATAATAATAATAATACAGTCATACCTCGGGATGAATACGCTTCAGGTTGAGCGTTTTTGGGTTGCACTCTGCAGTGACCCAGAAGTAATGGAACGCATTACTTCTGGGTTTCGCCGCTCACGCATGCGCAGATGCGCAAAATGATGTCACACGCATGCGTGGAAGCGGCGAAACGCAACCCACGCACGCGCAGATGCGCAGTCGCGTGTTACGGTCGCTTCAGGATGCAAACAGGGCTCCGGAACGGATCCTGTTCACATCTAGAGGTACCACTGTAATAGGGCTGGAGGAAGAGGGGTAACTTCTGCCTGAAACCCTGGAAAGCTACTGCTAGCCAGTGTAGGCTAGGGATAAATAACCCTTTTCAGCCCAAGGGTCAATCTTCCTGGGACCACATACCAGTGATGGGCAGGACCAGAGCAAAAGTAGGTGAAGCAATGGATGTTGATTTTACCTTTCTATAGCAGACTGGTTTCTGCACAAACACCCCTCTCTATCCTCCCTCCAGGCAAGCAAGGACACATTCCAGCCAGGCAAAAACTCTCAAGGAGGGCATGAAGCAGAGCAGCAGATGTGCCTAAAGAGGGAAGGAGGCCTGGAGAAAGCCTCAAGGGCCAGATAGAGAGGATTGAAGGGCCACATTGGCCATTGGCCCTGAGATTCTCCTCCTCTAGTATGGATAATACTGATTAAGATGGGCCAACAGTCTGGCTCAGTATAACACAGCTGCCTGTGTTCAAATCACTGAGCTACCATCCTTCCCCAGCTGCTTTTCCACCAGTGGGATGTGGGAGGTACGAGTCCCCCCATATTTCCCCCTCCACAGCTGAGAGAAAACACCATCTTGTCCAGCATAGTCCTAATTAGTCCCTCACAGAGCTACATTTCCCAGAGTGCCCTGGGAAGAGGGATTGATTGTTAAGCCACTCTAGGAGCTGGGGTTGGGGGACGGGGTGCAGAGTTGGGGAAGCTTGTTCCGGATCCTACTTTCCTCTTAACCTGCAGTTCATTCTCCCTCACCATTCCGGTCGAACCACTGAATAAATAAATAAAATCACCTTGTTGGAATCTTTGCCACAAACCAATTCCAAATTTCTTAATGAATACTGTAGTGTCACCATAAAAAAAGCCACTCTAGGAGCTGTAGAGCAGTGTTTCCCAACTGGTGTTCCGCGGCACACTAGTGTGCCGCGAGACGTTGCCTGGTGTGCCGCGAGATGTTGCCTGGAGGGAGGCGGGCGAGTCGGGCGGCGAGAGGCGGGGCGGCGGCAGCGAGGAGAGGCCGCCCAGCGCGGGGCTCTCGCCGTCTGCCTGCCTGGCTGCCTGCGTGGCGCTGACGTCACGGGGCTGTAACATGCCCCACATAGGCACACGCGGGGCGGCGAGCGAGCTCCCTCCCACATCCCATCGCCGCTCGCTTCGGCCGGCCTACTGGGCTGTCGCAGGCGGAAGGCCTGCGCATGCGCAAGGTTTTTGTGCCTTCGGGATTCCCTTCACGCCTTCCTGCTCCCGGGTCCTTGAGAGCGCGGGAAGCGGCAGCGCGAGACCGGCGTTGAGCCTGGTAGGTATTGCGCTTGCCAAGGCAGTCATTTGGGAAATGAAAACTTGCAAAGCAAGCAACCAGTTCAATCTGAAGTACGTGTATGCTTAATATCCTGTATCTGAAACCTGTTCTGCCCCCTCCCCCACACTTGGTGCCATTTTCATCTACACATGCAGCAGAGTAAGTTGACCCAGAATAGTACCAATTCAGATGGCAGATGGGAGAATGACAGTGCTGAATGCTTTCCCATGTAGAACAGTCCCTGCAAATAAAAACCTAGCATATTTGGAAGAGGGATGCTAGCCTAACCATTACCTTCTATGCTGTTACTATTTTTTTATTTTTTTTTACATAAGTAAAAAGTGACCTTTCCCCATCTGGCATGGTGGTGTGCCTCGAGATTTTTTTCATGAAACAAGTGTGCCTTTGCCCAAAAAAGGTTGGGAAACACTGCTGTAGAGGAATAGGGTTCTCCTAACAACTCTTGGCACCCTTGACAAACTACAGTTCCCAGAATTCCTTGGGGGAAGCTGGGGCTATCTAAGTGCTATAAGTGTGCTTCAGACATATGGTAAGGCCATGGCCAAGGGCTAATTTGTACTTCAAACTCAAAGCAAAGAACTGGGGGTTGGTGTGAAGTGACAAGATGGGATGGAATCTTACATTTCAGGCTGCTGCTTTTCTCTTTTGACTGCACCCAGGGAAGGATTGCTTCCCACACAGTTGGCTCTCTGCTGGTCCGTTTTCTCTTAGCCCCACGAGGTATCTCTTGTGTCTGCCTTTGCAAGATGGTATGCTATTGGTGGGTGCCACAGCACTGAAGTTTAGCCGATGCTTACATTTCCCCAGGGAAGCCAATTAAAAGCAGTCAGATTTGTTTATAGCCAATCAATGGGATCCTCTGGGCCCATGGGTAGAGTAGACAGCTCATATTTAAAATCTAAAACTACAGGACAGACTCAAATCCTCTCATGTAGCTAAACAGCTCTTTGGCTCTTTACCTCTGTTGTGAATGTATATCGAGCAGAATAAAATTACAAAACCATTTCTACCCTCTTGCAAGAGAACTTACATCAGTGCAAGATAATAGACTGGAGAAACCTGACCTCTCCCAGTTCTTTGATTTTTTTATAGGCACAATGTAGTTATTTAACAGAAAATGGCACCCAAATTACCCCTATTACTTTGTGTTCAAGCTGTATTAAGTAGGTCAGCATCTATAATTATATCTTAGGTCACTTCACAACTTTTTAATTAGCTCCTTATTTCTGACTTTTAAAGGTCATACATTCTACATTATCTGCCTGTCTACATTATCTACAGAAGGCGTTATTGCTGGGGATCAGTAAAATGAATGTTTTGCTTCCCTGGCAAGATATTTAAACAGCAGACCCTACAAATGGCCCATTGAGGCCTAAAATCTGGGGGGGGAATGACATTATGGAACAAAGGAGTGATGGCATTCAAAGGAGCAAAAGAAACACAAAGAGTTATGGTGAATACAGAAGACCACATCAAAGTGTGGGTGTCTAGTGGCTGGTAATCCAGTCATCCATACTGTCATTCACAGGTGAGGTGAGGAGGAAAAAACAGCAACCAATAGGAGAATAATACATGGGGTAGCAGAGCCTGAAATTCCACTTGGTTCGGGTGTAAACCCTGTGCGTGAGTTGAGCAGGCTGGGAGAAGCATGCAAAACTCTACCCTGGCATCATCCTCAGTGGGCAGTGGGAGCTTGCAGATGCTCCCACATGCCTGGATAGCTCAGCTGGTTAGAGCATGGTTAGAGCCCTGTATGAGACAACTACATATTCCTGCATTGTACGATTTAGAACCCCAGTTATGCAGGGTATTAAATCATGCAGGGAACTTCTATGAGTAGAGGAGACTTCTCACTCCCTACAGGGAACATCCC